TCCTCCTCCTCCTCCTCCTCCTCCTCCTCCTCCTCCTTGCTGCTGCCAGGCCATGCCAGAAGGGGTGCTGGACGTCACCGCCGCTCCTCGGTGCCTCGCCAGCTCTCGGGCCGTGGCTCGGGCCTCCGGCGGCCGCTCCGGGCGACTCGGGCACCCGCGGGGGCGCAGCTGCCGCAAAGCACCCCCAGGGGGTGCTGTCCGACTGGGACCGACGGACACGACAGGTCCGACTGGGTCCGACGGGGTCCGACGGACACGACAGGTGCATGGGTGCTGTCCGACCGGGTCCGACTGAGCCCTGCAGGGCTGGACAACGGACTGGGACCGACGGAGACGACCGGAACACCTCGAGAAGTCCTCACCCCTCACCCCCCCCCTGGGCACTGCCAGAAAACGCCGGAAAACGGCAGAAAACCGACAGAAAAAACCTGGAGAAGAACCCTGGGGCCGAAGAGAACGCTGGAGCACCTCGAGAGAACCTCAACCGCCCCTGGCACTGCCAGTGAACGCAAGAAAGCAGCAGAAACGTTGAAAAACCTCCAGAAGACCAAAACTAAACCCTGGGGCTGAAGGGAACGCCAGAACACCGCGAGAAAACAAAACCTCGAGAAGGCTTCGACCCCCCACCCTGGGCCGCCCCCGGTGGTTGTGACCCAGACCCCCGACGTCGTGCCTATTTCACAACCTCGACCCCCCGAAGCCTGGACCCCTTTTCCCCGGGACCCGTTTTAGTCGATGTTTGCCGGCCCCGAGAGCGGGTCAGGGCCCCCAGAGGCCGAAGACGGTGAACAAACTCCCCGCCGTGACTTTGCTCGTGGCCCGCGGGCCGCGGGGGCCTGGGGATGGTGCCAAAACAGGGCCAGGATCGGGAGAAATCGCTCCAGAGCGTTCCGGAGCGCTCTCGGGGCGTTCCGGAACGCTCTGGAGCGGCCGCGGCGCCCAGTACATCCTCCAAGCCCGCCGATTCTCAGAGATTTCGAGTTTTATCCCGATCCGATTTTGTCCCGATCTTCGCGTCGTTGTAGGTGGTGACCCCCGCCCCTGGCACTGCCCGCCCCTGGCCGGCCGAGGGTCGAGCAGCTCGAGGATCGAGGATCCAGGGTGGCGATGCCGGCAGGGGATCGAGCATCGAGGATCGAGGACAGGGCATCCAGGGTCGAGCATCGAGGAGCGCCGAAGATATCGCGGATCGCGGCGCTCGAGGCCAGATGCCTCTTCTGGTCTTCTGGCTCTGGGGGGGGCCTCCGGAAGGCGCCGCAACTAGACTGGGGCTCCCGTCCGCCCCCCGAGGAGGGGGGGTCGGGGAACGTTGAAAAAGACACACATGAAGCCCGTACCCCCCCCCCCGACCCGAGACTGGGGTCTTCGGGTCGGGTTGTGGTGGTCTGGCAGGTATAGTCACCTCCTTCCCTCCTCCTCGGGGGGCGGACGGGAGCCCCAGTCTAGTTGCGGCGCCTTCCGGAGGCCCCCCCCAGAGCCAGAAGACCGGAAGAGGCATCTGGCCTCGAGCGCCGCGATCCGCGATCTTCGGCGCTCCTCGATGCTCGACCCTGGATGCCCTGTCCTCGATCCTCCATGCTCGATCCCCTGCCGGCATCGCCACCCTGGATCCTCGATCCACGAGCTGCTCGACCCTCGGCCGGCCAGGGGCGGGCAGTGCCAGGGGCGGGGGTCACCACCTACAACGACGCGAAGATCGGGACAAAATCGGATCGGGATAAAACTCGAAATCTCTGAGAATCGGCGGGCTTGGAGGATGTAGTACTGGGCGCCGCGGCCGCTCCAGAGCGTTCCGGAACGCTCTGAGAGCGCTCCGGAACGCTCTGGAGCGATTTCTCCCGATCCTGGCCCTGTTTTACCAAGAGGCCCCGCGGGCCCCCCTGGCGGGACGGCCGCGCGCGCGGTGGTCTCTCCGCGGAGCCAGCGGCGCGCGCGCCGCGGCGCGGGTGGCGGGTCTCCGGGGGGGGGGCCCCGCGCCGAGCGCGCGGGCGCGCCCTCCGCGGCAGGAGGGGGAGGGCGGAGGGGGCGGGAGGAGGAGGAGAGGAGGAGGAGGAGGAGGAGGAGGAGGAGGAGGAGGAGGAGGAGGAGGAGGAGGAGGTGCGCGGAGGGCAAGAAGAGGAGGGGGGAGGCGGGAAGAGGAGGAGAAGGAGGAGGAGGAGGAATCATCAGACACAGAAGAAGGGAAGGGCAAGAAGGAACACGCAAGAAGAAAAAGAGGAAGAGGACGAACAGAGGAAGAGCCCCGCGAGCGTCCTCTCCAGGAGGGGGGGGGATAGTAAGACGAAGGGTAGCGATGCTGGGAGGGCGAAGGAGGATAAGGCAGAAGGATGTGCGGCAGTGGAGGAAGACGACGAAGAGCCTCGCGACCCCCCGCGTCTCCAGGAGGAGGAAGAGGAGGAGGAGGAGGAGGAGGAGGAGGCGGAGGAGGCCGCGGTTGGAAGGGAGAGGCAGAAGGTTGGGGGAAGGCTTGGCTGCCAACAGGCGGGGAGGGAAAGGGCCGAGGGGGGGAGAAGCGACAGCTAAGATTTTCTGGAGCGGGAGCCGATCGGATGAGAAGCGGGGGTGCCCTTTTTGCACCGGGGGAGGAGCGGGAGCCGATCGGAAGAGAAGCGGGGGTGCCCTTTTTGCACCCGGGGGGGGGGGGGCGAGCACCCCGTGGGGCTGCGGCACGGCCCTTCCCCCGCCCAAAGCCGATGAAGGTTGAGCGAGGAGGAAGGGAGAGGTGGAGGACGGAGGGGAGGAGAGGACGCGAGGAGGGAGGAGGGCGGAGTATGCAGGGGAGGTGGGCAAGCTAGGCACGCTCGTGTCATATCTGACGTCCTACCCATCCTTCCTATCCCTCACCATGGCATAGATATCCTCTGTATTCGCACACTCGGATGTCGAGCAAGGCTATGATCGCGAGAGGGTACGCGATGTATGGTGAGAGCACGGCATGGCATGGCGTAGAAGAGCACGGCAGAGCGCAACTTGCCATAGCATGGCGTGGCATTGCGCAGTGACGCGTTGCATTACAAAGCACTGCAACGCAAAGCATGGCATCGCACAGAGGCGCAGAACGCAACACCGCACATCATGTCATGGCATGGCGCCAAGTTCCTCGGAGGGTTAGTGGATCGTCTTCGAAAGGTCTGGGCCGGTCTGGAGTCGTGGCTCCATGTCTAGCTCCTTGCGCTCCCCGGAAACCTCCATACAAGGCGGGGCTGATGGAGAGCACCCGCTGGCTCTGCTTCCAGCATCGCCTTCTCAAAGCAGAAACGAGGCACCCGCTTGATACTTCCTGAAAACGACGACGCCCCAAAGTGGGGGGGGGGAGGCTTCTGCGGCCCAGAAAATCAACGAATGGCACATAATGTGTAATCACTTCCGATGATCTTTCGGGGGGCATGTTCTCGATTTTCGAGTCTATCTCGAAGGACCGAAAACGCCCGCGCTGCAGCGGGAGCACGATTTGGAACAACCAGAGGCGTATACATGGGGCTAGCGCTTCAGCGGGAGCAGCAGTTTGAAAACAAACCAAGCGAAAACCCTTTTCCAGGGAATCCTGCGTGACAAAAAGAATACGCGGAGGGTGGCCAGGTATTTCCCAGACGTCATCATGGGAGAAAGGAGGGCAATATTCACATTGTGCAAACTTGTAGAGGAGGGGGGAGGCAGAAGGAGGGGGAGGACGAGGGGGAGGAGAAAAAGGAGGAGGAGGAGGAGGAGGACGTGGAGGGAAGAGAGGGAGGGAGGCTGGAGGCAGAAGGGGCTGAGAGGAGCCCGCATGCCGGGCGAGATAAGAGCTGGGAGGACCAGGACAAGGAGAGACGGGGCGTGGAAGACGAGATGGAGGACAGGGAGGAGGCGCTCGCCATCGCTCGGACGCCCATTCCATGTGGATGTGTTGATGTCGTGCGTGCGTTTCTCTGCTCGGTGATCACAGGTGCTCCTCGATGGTCCTCGCCGAAACAAAACATGCCCACGTCCGAGCGATGCCAGGGGCAGGGGAGCCGTCGCGGGCATCTGCGGACCGACGGCGGGGCCCCGACGGAGGCGAGTGAAGGAGGACGAGGTTGGAGGAGGGAGGACTGGTGGGAGCCACGGGTGCGCAGGTCCGCAGATCGCATGATCGCACGAAGGGGATGAGGAGGAGGTGGAGGAGGAGGAGAAGGAATAGGAGGAGAAGGAGGAGGAGCGACAATAACCTGAGGGGACCAATCTCCGACTGACGGGACGGGGCCAACGCATTACGGCACGCGTCTCTGTGAACACGGCGCTGGGCATGGGTTCCAAAGGAGCGGAGTGTAAATCACGCGGGTCGTTGGTCAGACACGCAGGGAACGGGAGAGGTGGTAGCAGACGCGACGGGAAATTGTTGTTCGACCCAACCTGGAGGAACACGCAAGGCACCCCCACCGATAAGACGGCAAACGCAACTGAAGGAGGGTGGCGCATGGTTCATCCAGAACCTCCATGTGATGGCGCGGGGGGGGTCACTCCCCACAACAGTCCCGTTCAAATTACGACATTGGGACCACCAGGCGGGCCAGCATTCGGCTGCAAATGCACACGACATTGTGGTCTGGCAGGCGACCCAAGGAGAATGCGAAGAGCACTGCAACCCAACAAACACACCGCAGGCCACCGTGCCGTGCGAAAGGCGGCTTAGCTTTGCCCGACGCGGGGGGCGGGGGAGAGTATGAGTCCACCAAGGTCAGGCCCGCTGGGTGCACTGGACACTTGCTGGAGCTGGCTGCTTGAGCGCCCGTGGCAGCCTCCTCCTCCTCGGGCATTATCCTCCTCGGGGGTGAGTGTGGAATCGTCGAGCCACGGCCCTGAGCTGAGCATATCGCCCGCCTTCGGATGGCTGCATGGAATGATCTGCGACCAAGCATAGCGGCGGGCATTGTCGCATGGGTTGTTCTTGGGGGGTTCGAGAGAGAGAGGCTGCGGACTTGGCCGCCGCTGGTCTAGCACTTGCAACTCAAACAAGGATAACAGTGCCATCGCCATCATTATACTCAAGAACAACGGTCTTGTGGAGGTGGCACTTTAAAGAGTCACTTGCCAGAAACGAAGAGAAGGATGGGATGGGAGGGAGGAGGAGTAGGGGCTAGAGGAGGATGAGGAGAAGGAGGAGAGGGAGGAGGAGGAGGACGAGGAGGGAATTGACGAGGAGGAGACGGACGAGGAGGCGGAGAAGAGGATGGACGAAGAGGAGAAGGCGGAGGAGGAGGAAGAGGAGTAAGAGAACGAGTCAGAGTAAGAGTAGAAGTAAAAGTAAGAGTAGGAGTAAGAACAAGAAGGGGAGTAAGAGAGCACCCAGAAGAGTCGGCCGACGCGGACGACTTGACTTGATCTGGCACGGCCTTCAGACGGTGGTTCCAGGACCCGAGCCGCTCGGGAAACTTAAAATCAATCTGTGGGTACGTGGTAGCACTGAGCCTCTTCGGGTGGAAAGGAAGGACGAATGGATGCTTAAAGATTGGGCCCCTCCCCAAAAGGATACAAGAACAACCAAAAAAGAACTCAGATCCGAGGCCAGAAAAGCGTAATGCTTAAACTCAGATAGATCCCAGAGCCTTCAGGAATGGTGGTGTTTGGTTGTTTGGGAGTCCCCTGTCCGCGTTGGACCTCCTGACGCCAGTGAACCCAATCGAACTCGGAGTCTTTCCAGCGCTCGGGGTCGAGGGCCATGCCCCTACAGGCCAGGCCGCCGTAGTCAACGAACTGCTTCTCCCACCGCCACGCGCGGAAGCAATGCCCAATACCGGTGACCTTGGGAGCCAATGAAACCCTCGGCGTGTCGGAGCCCTCGATATGCATAGCCCTTCTAATCAAGAGCCACATGCACAACGAGCCCAGGCTCATCAGATCTCATTCGGGCAACATGGCCCGCCCAGCGGCGCCCAAGGAATAAGACAAATCGGTCCGAAGGAATCGTTTGAGCTCTCTGTGCCAACTGTCGGAGAATGCGGAATACTCTACACATCTAGGCCCCCACGGGTTCCTCATCAGGTTTGAGCGCGCCTAGCATCTGTCTGATCATACAGCACTGCACAGCGCGAAGTTGAATCAAGCGAGCCCGGGCGACATTCACACCCCTGGAACAAAATAAATCCGCCTGCCGAACAATCGAATCCAGGAGGCCAATGCGTTGTACGACGGGGCTCTTCTTGCTGCACAACAGTGACCGATGTTTACGGAGAGGGGCCCACTCTCGAGTTTTGCCCCGACTGCTGGCAAAGGAAGCATAGCCATCCATCGTGATCCACGCTCCAGGTCGTCGAAAAACCCTGGCGCGAGTCGCGAGCCAGGAGCAATCGCTCAGCAGAGCCGCGCACGCAAAGCGCCAGCATTAAAAAAATGCGCCGCTCGGCCCACATCGCCGACAGCATCTGTGGCGAACAGGCGAGCAAGTAGAAATTGTCGACGGGAACCATCAGAGGTACCTAGACGGGAGATCTTCAAGTCCGTGTCTTCTAGGGGGATCAGCATTGCGAGGTCTTCGGGTTTCACGGGGCCCCACAAGCCGCTTTCCATGGAAATGCGTTCAAACTCCGTGATCGGGTCGCCCAAGAAAACGCTGAGAAGCCCCAGTGCCTCGGGGCCGCCCTGCAACAGCGAGCGCGCGTGATACTTGCCTGGTTGGCGATACTCCAGGCGCCAGAAACTCAGACCGGCTACTGCGCACTCCTCTCAACCAGGCGGCCGCGATGTTCTGGGGGAGCTTGCAACGTTGATGCTTTCTGATCACATGCGGATGACGCGCATGATCCTATGCCATATGAGGGGCCCCCAACCCCGAGTACAGTGGCTCTCGGAATCCGGCGGCGCGCACAATCAATATGCGAGCGGCAGCAACAGCCTCGCGCACTTGATACTCCTTGCGGAAGGCAAAATGCAGCTTAGACAAGGAAAACTGGTCGAGCTGAATCAGCTCGCTCAGACACTGGGAGTACAGCTTGCGCAGACATGCCAGAAGGGCGATCGGGCGAAAGTCTTTGACCTTGCAGGCACCATACAACTTAGCTAGTAGAGTGGCGTGATGCCGTTGAAATATCGGGTCTAGTTTCTCGCTGGGATTGTTCCCGACCTAGGCTCTGCCTAGAAGGGCTCTTACTCTCTTAGCTTAAAGGGGCCTGGCAGTGGAGCTCGCCCCGGGCGGTTCCCCCAGGATCCGCCCCGCGGTTCCCCCAGCTACGTCCCTTTAGCTTCGCGTTGCTTATCACATCTTCGCTTAGCTTATTTCATCTTAGCTTAATTCAGCTTCAGCTTAGCTCAGGTTTATCTTAGCTTAGCTTACCTTCATCTTAGTTTCGCTGAGCTTTAGCATAGCAGAGCACAACATAGCATAATATAGCGTAACATAGCATAGCGCAGCACAGCATATCATAGCCGACCTTCAGCTTAGCTTTGCTTAGCTTATCTTAGCATAGCGCAGCGCAGCATTAGCATAACATAGCCTAGCATAGCACTGCCAAGTATTGCATATCAAAACATAGCATAGCGCAGCACACCATAGCACAACATCGCATAACATATCATATCGTAACACAGTATAGCATAGCGCAGACGCCGAAGTGTCAAGGCGAGAACCGCGCGGCCTTTCGGCCAGAACTTGCAACTCCAAATACCCAAGACGCAAGTGGAATCGAAAATGGCTTCCAAGACAGATCCTTCTGGAATCGAAACTGCGACCGACAATGGGGCATGCCCCAGCAACCGCAGCCCCATCGCGACGGCCGCCGCCAGCTCCGCAGCGTCGTTCGCGCGCCCGAGAGCCCCCGCGAAATCTTCCAGAGAGGTCTAAAAGGACGGGCGCAGAGCTCTGGAGCAACAGATCGACTCGGGCCCTGTGAGACCTCGAGTTCTGATGGGATCCCAGGGCTGAAGGCGGCAAAATCCCAGCCACAGATCCTGCGATTTCCAACGCATTGTTGCAAGTGGCCATCGCAATACAAACAGAAGCGAACGTCGTCTAAACTACACTCGGCACCCGGGCGAGCTCCGACCCCACGCCGGCCCCCCACTTTCCTCGAGAAAGTTCGGTCGAGCAATCTCTGGCCAACGGGCTCGGTTTTTAAACTGCGAGCAACGTTCGGCTCAAGCTGGGGCGCCGGTTGATTCGCCGCAAAGAACGCAACAATCAGCGGGCGGAGATCATTTTCCCAGGCTGAGCAGCAGCGGGCCCGGCAGTCGCAGGAACCTCGCGAGGGGCCCCTGCCGACGGCCACGAAGTCCATCTGTCTGGGCTCGAACTTGCCGTCGTAGAAGCACGAGCTAGCGCCCAGCAGCGGCTCACTCCATGCGCCATTCAGAATCAGGTTGTTGCTGGCGACGAACTCGTAGAAACCGCCAGCCCCCCACGTCCGCGCCCCCGCTGCGTGGGGGCCCACCGTCGAGGTCGGCCTGCCGTTGCGCTCGAAAGAAGCGCTGGCGTCCACGCGCAGCATGGGGGTGTAGTTCAGCGGAAACTTTTCGAGTAGGTGTTCGCAGTCGGCGATGCCCGAGTATGTGGGCGCTATGAGGATTCGCATCTGCGTCTAGGCGTGAGCAAACTATCCAAAGTGGTCCGCCGTGGGGAGCGATGATGCCCACGGCGGCGCTGTTACCTCAGCACACAGGGTCGACGCTGATGCGGGGCTTCAATGTCCCATGCACCAAGATCGCTGGTCTCCTTTTCGGCCCTCGCACATGGGTGGCCTAAGATCACAAGATGGCAAACCATCTCGTCGTTTCCTTCTGCACATGAGTGGTTTCTTGAATGCAAGGGGTATCCCGCGAAGCTCAGCTCCCAAAAGTTCTAGCCCCCATCGCGGCACTTCTCATCGGCCCCCCCCTGCAGTTCCAACTGGCGACGATGCTATCGTCGCTAGACCGTGGCGCATGGAAAGAGAATCGCAATCCACCCCGACGGGGCGGGTCGATGATCCCCTCCACGTGCTGGGCCAAGTCCAGCTCGATCCCGTTCGCCGTCAGCCACTGCTGGCCCTCGGCGACGACCTCCAGGTTGCAAGACGGGAAGTTGCGCATCAGGATCCTCGACGGGCCGCGCGGCATGAAGTCCGCGGACAAGCGCCTGCGGAGGAGGATGGCCGATCACATGTCCTTCGACGCGTCGATCATCAAAGAGAATTCGCTGCCCGAGAAGGTGGGCCACCTCTTGCTATTGGTTGCCTTGAGAAGGTTGTTGGCGTGCGTGGCTCGGTTCTGACACGTCAACTCCTCGGGGTACTTGCCGACGGCGCGCCGCAGTTGCGCATGGTCGGCGCGACGAGAGTCCTGCGACCGACTCTCGCCCGCCAGCTTGGACGCGAACTCATTGCCTTTCATGGCCACTAAACAACCCCACATCTTCTGAGAGGTGTCGAACTCGATAGTTACGCGGTCCACGTAGCTGAAAAAAACCTCCTTCACGACTGTGATACGTGAATCTGAGAGAACCTGCATCAAATCATTTGCACTCTCCAAGCCATCCGTGCACTGATAACCTCCGACGCACAAATACTGACGTCTGTTGACGGGAACCCTGGTGATGGCCTGGATGGTCGAGCCGTCGGAGCCAGAGCCAGCAACGCTGGCAGCCCCTGCAGCACGGCCAGGGCCAGCACTGCCAGCACCTCCACCAGTCCCACCGGCCTCGATCAGGGTGACGCGAGCGGTCAGGTTCACGATGTCGGTTTTCAACGAAGCAACGCATTTGTCGGTATTCGACCACGCAGTTGTCCACCATTTTCTCCAGGGGCAAGATGATCTGGGACAGACTACAACGGAAATCACTTGTCAATGATTGAAAACAACGGGTCTCTATGACACCTTCCAGTCCCTCAGGCAATGGTGCGGACTGAGCGACAGCGGCTGCTATAGCGGGTTCTGATGAGTCTCAGGCTACGCTGCTGCTGTTATCCGAGTCGTCGAGGAAGTCATCGTTGCCACTTCTCTGCTTCACCCTCCGAGGAACGGGGGTCGCTGGGGCCGCCGCGCACGCTGCGGCACCTGGAGATGCAGGAGCAGCAGGGGCGAAGAGGGGCATTCCGAGGGGCAGTCCTGCACCTCCCGCGAGCATCGTCTGAAACTAAGAGTGTCACGATGGGGCCGGCAGAATGAGTGGCAGGTGAAATGGATGTGCAAAAGCGAGAACGGCTGCCCTACACCTCCTGAATGAATCTTGAGCCAGCACGTACGCGGACGACGACCACCACCACCACCCTTCGGCCGCCCACGCAGGCGGAGTGGCTCCTTCAGCGAGGAGACGACAAGCACACGAACCCGAGAACAGCTCCAAGAACTGCTCCCCTCCATGAGCTTTCCCCGACGGCTTGGGGGGACGGGGTGCTGCTCTCCCGCGTGAGCGCGCTCGACCTGCTCCCCACCAGGAGCTCTCAGCGGCACTGCCCCCTCCGAAGAGGCGTGTTCCCGCTGAGCTGGGCGCCAGGCCCCCGTGCCGAACGATTCCAGCGGCAGACACGGGCGGGGTGGCCCGCTGGCCCGCAGGCCAGGGCGCGCGCCTCCGCAGAGGATCAGCCCGACGACGTCGCCGAGGCACGGGAAGCCCCGCATCCGCCGGCGCCGACTCGGAGGGGCGGAGCTCGGCCATGGCGGCCGCCAGGGACGTATGCTCGCGCGGCACCTCGGCGCGGGCCCTCTGCGTGGACTCACACGGCCGCTCTGGCCCCGGGGGCGGAAACAGGGCCGCGCGCACGCGAAGCCTCCGCGCCTCCGCTGCAGTGCCGCCGCCCGTCGCCCCGACGCCTCGGACGTCTCCTCTGACTCCTCGCTCTCCCGCCTCCTCGTCGTTGCGGCCGTCGGGGGCCTCGAGAGCCCGCGCCGCCCCCGCCGCGGCCGCCGCGGCGAAGCGCGGGCTCTCCGCCGACTTCGAGGTGGTCGGCGGGGTCGGCACAGGGGGCTCTGCCGGCCCGAGGGGCTCCGCGCCACGCCCGCCCCCTTGCACCGCCCTCGGCGGCTCCGCGTCGGCCGCGGGGCCGGCACGCGCGGCGGCATCGCCAGGCGCACGCCTCCAGGGGGCGGCCTTCTCCTCGCCGTGGGCGTCGCGCGCGGACGGGGCCGCCAGCGCGTCGAAGAGCGCTCGCCTCAGGAAGGGAAGCCGCCGGCCGCGGTGCTCCATGATGGCGCCAAGGACGTCGGCGAAAAGCACGGCGGCGCGGCCGTGCGCACACGCGCACTGCTCAGGGCCCCCTGGACCAGGACACGCTAGACCGGGACACCCAACATACCTCGAAATTACTTTTCCTGACGGCGGCACGAGTTAAAACCAGCACTGCACAAGAGAGCGGCACGGACAGACAACTGCACTGTTGCATGCAACATTCCCTGTATGAGCCACGACAAAGGCCATGGGCGCCTGCAAAACCTCCCCTGGACCCGGACACAGACCCGAATCCTGCGGCGCAGCAGCAGAAAAATGCACTGGACGACCAAGCGCAGCAACAGAGAAATACACTGGACGACCAAAGTCTACCTTTGCAGGAAAGCGTGTCGTTTTCCCGACATGCCAATGTCCTGGTTACTCTCTGTCCTGTTCTCGGCGGGGGCGGAAATGCGCCCTCTTCTCGGCCGCCGGTCGGTTGGGGCGCCGCCCGCGCGACGGCACGCCTCCAGCGGCAGCGCCCGACACCAACGGAGCCGCTGAGGAGAGCACGCGGAGGACGCGGGGCCGAGGAGCCCCGCGCCGCTGGCTCGGAGGCGAGCCGCGGGCTCGAGCCGAGCTGGCGCTGGGAGGAGGAACCAGGGGGGCGAGGAGGCGGAGAAAGGGGACGGACGAAGGGGGGGAGGAAGAGCCGAAGGGGGGAGAAAGGGAGGAAGGAGAGGGACGGGGGCAGGGCGAGAGGAAAGAGCCTACACGCCGCCGCAGAACGTGCACCCGGGGTGGGGGCATGGGAGACAGGTGGAGGCGTCTGGGGCAGCGAGGTCGGCCAGCGGGCCGGCTGGAACTTCTCCTGGCGGCGGGCGGTGGAAACACGCAGTCGGGCCGACATGCACATTCTGCCCATCCACCATTATTGCTACTTCCTCCTGCTCATCCACATCCCCCCCCCCTCACCATTACCATCAGCAGCAGCACTACCTTCACCATCATCATCATCATCATCATCATCATCATCATCATCATCATCATCATCATCATCATCATCATCATCGTCACACCACCATCAGCAGCAACGTCATCATCACATGCATCATCATCGACATTATGATCAACAACACACCTACCATCAATCTCATCATCGCGCCCACACACGTTCTCATCGCAATATGCCTCATGATCATCACCATCCGCATCAAAATCATCATCATCAGCATCAGCATCATCATCATCATCATCATCATCATCATCATCATCATCATCATCATCATCATCATCATCATCATCATCATCATCATCATCATCATCATCATCATCATCATCAACAAGCCACAATCATCGCCAATTACATCACAATCATCCGCATCATCATAACCATCACTATCGATGTCTTCATCACCCACGTCATCATACTCATCATCAGAATCAGTATTGTCACAATCGCGACCATCATCATGATCTCACATGTGGCCACCTTCATCGTCACAACCATCATATTCATCATCACCAACAGCATCATACGCATCATCATGATCTGCATCATCTTCACTATCTCCACCATCATGATGACAATCATCATGAGCACCATCACCGTCACCAAATCAATCTCACCATCGTCATCGTCATCACCGCCATTGCCATCACCATCGTCGCCAGAAACATCAACAATATCGCAATCGCCATCATTATCAATATCACCACTATCTACCACCATCATCACCACCACCATTTGCATCGGCATCAAAATAGTCGGCAACACCCGCAGCAGAATCGCGCGATTCCGCCCAACCTTTACAGCACCGAGAAAACTACGTCCAATCCCAAATCGAAATCTGTAGGCACATATTTTGTATACATAAAAATTCCCTTGCCCATCCACATCCGCCTATACTTGGTAAACGGAGAAAGTATGCCCACCCTGCCGCCGGTAGGCAACCAATGATTTCCACCGCCATTTTGCCAATCGTTGGTTGGCGTCACCTCGGCCATCTGCAAGCTTGACCACTGCGCTTTCGAGGTGGTCGCGCGCTTTCCGTCTGATTCGCACCTTATCACTCCACGCTGCGAACTATTTATACATGTCACGCCAAGCCATGCGACTGTCAACCCAACGCCCTTGTGGCAGACCGCACAAGTGATTCTCTAACGCAGCAGGCAGGCAGGCCACCCTTGCGATGCGATGTCCTTTGATTGCGCCCCCAAGTATTAAGCGTTTCATTTTCTTTTTTCGGGCTGTCTCATCGATTTCTTCGGACTTACGAGCTGAGCATCGGCAAGTTGCGCGAGGTTGAACCAGCAATTATTTCATATTGTCGAAGTTGCATTGCCTTACCTTTGCGTTGGATTATGCGCATTTGTCTGGGGATGCTGGGAACGTATTAACTTTCTCTGTCTTTTCTCCGGAAGTGGACTCCTGCACCTCCCGCAGACACCTAGGAAACAGCCGAGACGGTGCTCATGGCTGGCAGCTTCCTTATTTTCCCGAGCGTCGAGCTCGGCCCTGCTGAAACGACGTGGCACACGATTGCTTCTGTCCGCTGAGAATTTTGCAAAACTGGCGGCGTTACTCTCGACTTGCGCATTCTCATCATCGCGAGCTGGCACGACCAGCTCCGTGCTCGAAATTGGCTTTGCGATTGCCACTGACGCACCATTGGCTCCGGTTTCCCCTTCGGTATCATCCAAATTCATCCACCCTCCGCTACTGAGCTTTGCTAACTTCCTGCTGCCAATTGCACGCGCGCGTTCGGGGCCGCCTCCTTCTCGTCATCACCAGATGGCCCATGCAACGCAGCGGCTGGCCGCTTCTTCACCCGAGCCTTCGTTCGGGCCGCAGAAACGCGAGCTAAGAGATGAGAGTCTCGGACAGCCCCGGGCGAAAACGGCAACATCAAGAGGACTCTCATTGATTTCGCGACGGCGTTCAACCCTGAAACGCCATGGGAAAATACTCCCGATTTGATGAATCCGCCGGCCCTGTCGGCGTGATGAAGACGCTGTTCCGTTTGAGTCGTCGTCGTAGTAGTCGTCGTGATCGTTGCCGTCGTCGTCGCCGTCGCCGTCGCCGTCGCCGCTCCTCCCCCTTCTCCTGGGCCCCTCGCCGCTCCTCCCCTTTCACTGGGCCCTCCATTCCAAGCGCGCCAGCCAAAGCGAAATTGAGCAACGTCGTAGTTGAGTCGCAGGGAATCAATCCCCTTCCCTTTGATCCCATCCACACGGGGGGGTGAAGGGGGTTCCGAGGGGGCGGGGCGGGGCCCCAGGGAAGGTTCGGGATCCGAATACCATCCTTCCCGCAAGGTCCCGGGACCCACGCACGCCACAAGATGGGCCAGGAGTGGCCCAAAAGGCCCCCAAGACGTTCCAAGAGGGCCCCGAATCGCCAAACGCTCGGTGCAAAACGCCAAAGATGGCCTCCAGACGGCCCCAAGAGGCCTCCAACACGCCTCAAGAGCCTCCAAGAGTACTTCCAAAACGACCGCAGAAGCAAAATTCATTGATTTCCATTAGGTATTTGAAAGATTTTGGCGTTCTCGCCTTTTCGACTTCCCGACGCTCGGAGAAAGCCCAAGAGGCCTCCAAGAGGCCCAAGAGGGCCCCAAGACGGCCCAGGAGGCCTCCAAGACTGCCGAACGCCACCAAAACGGCTCCACGAGAATGCCCAGACAGGGGACCCGAACGGACACTTCGAGCTCTCGGCCCAGAGGTTCCCAAGAGGTCCACAAAGGGCCCCAAGAGGCCCCAAGAGGCCCCTTCCAGAGGCCCCAAACGGCCCCCAAGGGCTCCCAAGAGACCCAGCAAATGCTCCCAAGAGGCCCACGAAGTGCCCCCCAGAAGCCACCGAGAGCACTCCGAACAGACCCCCAAGAGCATGCCTAACGACTCCGACTCACGTCAGCGTGGTCGTCGTCATCGTCGTCCCCGTTTAGGGTCGGCGGCACCGACCGGAAGGCCTTAGCAAAAATTGGCAACACCCGATTCAGCATCGTGAGAACGACCATCATCCATCATCCCTCCTCCACCTCCTCCAGCTCCTCCCTCTGGGGGGAGCGGTCTTGATTCGCGGGGTTCGGTCCTTCTCTGCCGTACGGTCCCACTGCAGGCGCCCCTCGGCTGTGCCCGGCCGGGTGTAAAGGGTGTGGGGCCGGGGTCACTCCGACCTACTGCGTAAGCGGGGGAGGCTCTAGGGTGCGTGCCACCTGCCTAGGGGCTGCGGGGGTGGTCCTGGGCCCCGCTAAGTCTCGCACCGCGCTCCGCAAGCGGTGGCCGAGGGGGTGCCAGGGTCCCCGACCTCAGAGGGGCGGGAGGCTTGGGGCGGCATCCAGAGGTGGTGTCGTGAGTTGGTGAACTGGCGGCGAGTGAGTGGACCCTGTGAGCAGGCGGCGGAGTTGTAGGCTTGCCTCTGTGGCGGGCTGGGACCCCCGCTTGAAGGCCCAGTGACCTGTGGCTGCAGCTGCCTCTCTGCTGCTCCCCCCCTGCTTCTTGGCACGGGGAGGCCGCCTGCATGTCGATGGGCCTTGGGAGGCCACGCGAGTGGCAGAGCAGCCGACTCCAGCCGAAACCCCTGCTCCTCCCGGCATTCTCCACGCCTCTCCTGCACCCTCTCCTCCCCCCCTTCCGCTATGAAAGAGGCCCACAAACACACGAATAAATACACACAAATAACAGGATTCTCCATATGTTTCCATATTTTCTGGGTTTCTGTCTTCCCCCCCACTTCCAACATTGTCCCATAATGTTCCTGGGGATCGACGATTACTTGAGTCTGTGTGTTTGTTTGTTCCCCTCCTGATGATCCTTTCCCGCCCTCCCAAGAGGCCCGTCTGCTCCACCCGCTCGGCCGGGCCGCGCGGGACGCGGGCTCTGAGCACCGCGGGCGGGCAGCCTAGCGATGCCTTCTCCTGCGCAAAGCCTGCCCACCCACCGCCTGCGCACCCTCCGCTGCCAGCCCTCCTCCACTCTACCAGGGGATATGTGTCGACCCCTATATCCCAGGTTGTTCGTGGGTTTTTCGAACGGACCAGAAGCTTGGGGCCCAACCCAGGGACACACGATAGGGGGGTCTCCATCCTGGACTCGGGGTGCGTCCGCATAGCCACTTCGGGGTGTGTCTCAGGGCCCCTCTCTTTGTTCTGAGCGGCCAACCTCTTCGGGTGGAACTCGGGGATTGGGGGAGACAAATCGCCTGCGATCCACCTCTTGATGGGCCTGTTTCCCACCACTACCACCATAAGTTGGGGGGGAAGGAGGTGGAGGATGAGGAGAAGGAGGAGGAGGAGGAGGAGGAGGAGGAGAAGGAGCAGGAGGAGGAGGAGGAGGAGAAGGAAGAATGGCAGGAGGAGGAGGAGGAGGAGGAGGAGGACCCCTCTTCCTCCTACTGATGGTGGTGGCGGTGGAAAGCAAGCCCACCACCTCTGACCCCTGACCCCCCCCCTCCCCCGCCCGGCACTCGCGCTCCTCTGGAGAGCGCGGCTGGCCCGCTGCCATGCCACGCGCAGCCCGGCCTGCGGGCGATGGGGATCGGCAGCCGAAGGTCGAGCAGCTCAAGCATCGAGGATCCAGGGTGTCGATGCCTGAAGAGGATCAGGGATCGAGGATCTTGCATCGAGGATCGAGGATCGTCGAGGATCGCGGATCGAGGCTCGAGGACCGATGTCTTTGTCCAGTCTTTTGACTTAGGAGGGACCTCTGGAAGCCCTTTGGGGGCCCCTCGGGCCCTCCGCAGATCCCCCGGGACCTCCTGAGACTTCTCGCCGAGACCTCCCCAAGGAACCCCCAGGGACCCTCGGGGGGACCTCCCGAGACCTCTGGGGACGGATGATGGAGGAGGAACGAAGAAGAGAGATTTGCGGCGCGCACAAGGGGGCAGGAGGATGAAGGAAATTTTCTTAGGAGGCTGGTCCTTAGAAGGCGCCGGCCATACATGCACAGGCAAACGCCCGCGCCTTCCAAGAAGCCTTCCCCCTCCCCCTACCCCACATCTGCGCGTGGCCGGGGAGGGAGGGAGGGAAGGAGGGAGGGACATGAAAGATTGGTTGACTGGCGTATTGGCGCAAGTATCAAAAAAGGTGGAGGTACGTTTGGATTCTCCCTTGCGGCCGCCTCTGCTGGACAAGGGCCCGTTACCTCAAGTGCCTGTTGATGGCACGGTTGATTAGTGCATTGGTGTTATCATGGCAGAAGGCGGTCCCAGCAGGCAACACAATAGAAGCTGCGAGGGGTGTGACGCCTATGATGGCACTCACTGCAGAGGCCCATGATAGTCCTCACCTGGGGAAAGGGGAGAGGGTATGGGAGTGGCGCCGTAGGTCATCCGAAGATCTCGAGCATCTTGAACCCTGAAGCGGAGATCCTGACAAGAGCTTGAAAAAGTAGGGCCTGAAAGAGGGAGGGAGGGGGAGCAGGGAGCAGGGAGGAGGAAGGAGGGAGGAACAGAGGAGGAAGAGAAGGGGGAGAGAAAAAGAATGGGAGGAGGGAACAGGCAGGAGGCAGGAAGGAGAAAGAAGAAAGGATGGAGCGAAGGAGGAGGGGGGTAGAGAGGAGTCGTCGCACTGCCCAACCCTGGGAAGGAACAAAACAAACGCTCACCACCCTGAACCTATCTCCCCCCAACGTGGCCCCTGACCGTCCGCTCCCTGGCTTTCGGGCCAGAAGCCGGGCCACCAGCGGCCCTTCGGGACGATCCGGGCACCCCGGGAACGCTCTCGACGAGGCGCAGCTGACGGAAACCACCCCTGGCCCCGGAAACATCCGCAAAACTTAGAAAACTATAGCAAAGACTCCCTCTGCGGCTACGTATCCCCTGATACATTCCCCCTGTCGCTTCCCCTGGGGCGGACCCCCCTCGGGAGGAGCCCCCGTCTTGGAGCCCTCTTGAGCCCCTCTTGGGTCTCTCTTGGAGCTATGTTGAGGCCTCGGAAGGACATCGGAAGCCAACGGGCGAGAAGACCAACACCATTGGTTTTGGAGGGAATTGGGCCTCTTGCGTGCGTCCTGGGGAGCCCCCAGGGCCACTTGGACCCATGTTGAAGCATCCGTTGTCGCTTTCTTCGGTCGTCGTCGTCGTCGTCGCCGTCGCCATCGTCGTCGTTGCCGCCGTCGTCGGCCGTCGTCGTCGTCGTCGGCGTCCTGCGGAGCCCCCGAGCCGCTCGGACCGATCTTGGAGCAGCCACTCCTCCGCGGCGCGGCGGTGGGGCGGCGGCGGCGCAGCGGCGGCGGCGCAGCGGCGGTGCCAACGACGACGGACGACGGACGACGGACGACGGACGACCGACGACCACAACGACCGACGACCGACGACCGACGACGACGTCAACGACCACAACCGACGACAACGACGACGACGACGACGACGACGGACGGACCCGTCTTGGAGCAGCCACACCCCCGCGGCAGGCCGCGCCTTGCCGCAGAGCTCACCCGTCGCCGCCCGCCGCGGCCCGGGCGCCCTGCCGGCCTCGGCCGCCGCGGCCGCACGGCGCCGCCGCGGCCGCACGGCGCCGGCGACGACGTCGACGCTGACGCCCCGACGACGACGACGACGAAGATGACGACGACGACGACGAAGACGCTGACGCCGACGCCGACGCCGACGCCGACGCCGACCCCCCGACGACGACGACGACGCTGACACCGCCGACGACGATGACCCCTACGACGACGACCCTGCAGGCAGCGCGGCGGCGGTGCTACCGCAGCCTCGAGCCGTCGCGGGCCTCGATGGACCGTCGTCGTCGTCGTCCGCCGTCCGCCGTCCGTTTTGGGCACCAATGGCTGGTGCTATCTGAAGACAATAACAAAGCGCTGCCTTAACAAGCCGGCAAAACACGAGCACGAGCAAAGCATCAGCACAATAACTTCGAAAGCCCGATGGCCAGGAATAGTACACACACACACCACGACGACGACGACGACGACGAGGACGACGAACGAGGACGAGGATGAGGACGAGGACGAGGACGAGGACGAGGACGAGGACAAGGACCACGACGAGGACGACGACGACGACGACGACGACGACGGACGAGACGACGACGACGACGACGCGACGACGACGACGACGACGTGCGTGCTGCCGGGCGGCGCACGGCGCGCGGCCCCGCCGGCGGCGAGGACGCCGGGGCCCGCCGGCGCCCCCCGGCGCCCGCGGGCGGCGGCGCGGCGGCCGCCTCGGTGCGAGCGGGCGCGCGCGCGGGGGCACGGGCGCCGCGGGGATGCGGCTGCGGAGGAGGAAAGAGCTTGTTTTTTTTAGACTCTGGCAAGTTTACTTCCTAGCCTCCCAACCTGTGGGATGCTGGGGCGTCTATGCGCCGAATTCCCTCGCGGACTTCGTTGGCTCCCTGGCCGACCAAGCCACGTGGTGTGTACATCGCGCTCCACGGGTGCCAGATTCTTTGTGAGCCTGTTTTTTTTTTAGACTCTGGCAAGTTTGCTTGCATGGACGGGGGGGGGGGGGCTGAGCCTGAAGCAAGCCCGGGGGGGGGGGCGCAGAAATTACGCAAGTCGAAAGGCACTTGCACGCTAGTATTCGCTTGAAGAGGGGCGAGAGGGGGGGGGCGAACGCCATGCAAGTAAACTTGCCCGAATCCAAAAAAAACAGGCTCTGGGGGCACGGGCGCCGCGGGGATGCGGCTGCGGAGGAGGAAAGCGTACCCAGACCCCCTCGAGTTCTTCGAGGGATGAGGAAACGCCCCCCCTCATACCCTGGGTTGCAAGTGCGTGGTCTGTAAGCCTCCTGGGAGCTCTCTCTCCAGAGGCCAGAGAGCCGCCAGGACGCCGCGCGACACGCGCGATGCGCAGGGTTAACCCTGTCAGCCAACAGAATGTTCAGCGCACAGCGCCTCGTCAACCAGGTTAGGGGCGTGTCTTACGCCCTTGAGTCATGCAAGAATCACGACGGCAAGTTTTTCCCTATGCTCGGCCTCTGGGGGCCCTCACCTGCCTGCGGGACCGTCCAAAAACGACTCGGGATGAAGAGCCAGTCCCGGGGAAGGGGTCGAGACCGCTGGGGATCCACGTCATGAAAAATGCATGACGTCCGGCGGCTTCGGGGGAGGAAGAGGCACCTATTAGCGCTACCCTTCGCCCGTCATTCCCCCTCCTGGGCCCCCGTGGGGGCCCTCGTCGCCACGGCCGGGCTCGGCTCGAAGTCCTGGTCAGAACGCACCCCGGGAGAGGTCTGGGGAGTAGCGGTATCGGCACCTCCCGGTTTCCCCACGGCTGGCGCTGTCAAGATACGGTGGTGGCCCATATTGTCTTGTTTTGTCTTGTCTTCTCTTGTCTTCTCTTGTCTTCTCTTCTCTTCTCTTGTCTTCTCTTCTCTTGTCTTGTCTTGTCTTCTCTTGTCCTGTCGTGTCTTGTCTTGTCTTGTCTTGTCGTGTCTTGTCTTGTCTTGTCTTGTCTTGTCCTGTCTTCTCTTGTCTTGTCTCGGGCGGCAGAGGCCTGCTGGACATGAGCACAGGGCGGCGAGGGCCGCGGAGCGCCGTGGCGATCAGCAGTTTGCGGCCGCGCGGCGCCGCTGCGACAGATTGCGCGCCCTGCGTGCCAATGGCATCCACCGGCCTGGAGAGCTCAGCCGAGCAAGGCAACTTCCAGGCTGCGGTAGAGTCCTGGAGGGCCACACGTGCCGGGCTGGAAACAGGGCATTCCCCGCCTGATTCGGGCCGTTCGTGGAGGCATGTACCCATGAGGCTCCAGACCCTGGAGGATTCCTCATCTGATGAGGGCGGCGATATCAATGGCCGAACCCCGATTGGTGTTTCACCAACTTGCCGACCCTGGACTCCTCATCCCTCCTTCTTTCGTCCTGGCTCAGCTCCTGCCGAGGTCAGCCGACCCGAGGCGCAGAGTGCAGTCCAGAACCGGTCGAATGAGACAGCACGATCCTCTAGCGCCGTCAGTTCCGCTGTGACCGAAGGATATCGGCTCTGCCATGTAGACCTCCTCCTCCTCCTCCTCCTCCTCCTCCTCCTCCTCCTCCTCCTCCTCCTCCTCCTTCCTCCCACCTCCTCCTCCTCCCCTCCTCCTCCTCCTCCTCCCTCCCTCCTAGCCGTTCTGGCTCAGGTGTCCTGAGCTTGCTGCGGCAGACTTCAGAACGGCACCGCCGCAGCGAGCCATTGTGGCAGTGAGCTCCTGCAGGAGCAACCCCCTTTTGTTGAGACGGAGAACACGAGTGTCGTGTGGGCGAGGTCGAGAGGATCTCCCCGATGGCGCTCATGGCGGGGCCGGTACTACCAGGCCCCCGCAAGCCCACATGGGGGTGCCCAGCCTGCGGAGCATCGGCGAATTGGGCGAGCCGCATCAAATGCAGATGCGGACAGGATGCACCGACGGTATTCATCCAACGGGCAAGGAAGGCTGCGAGAGAGGCGACGCAGCAGCCTGCGTCGGCGCCTCGACGTGCATCGCAGTCTCCAGCACCGTGGAGTGATCAGTATAAGCAGATGCAGAAGCAGATGGAGTTTCTCTCAGCTGAGCTCAAGAGAGTCAAGGCTGAGAAGGGAGTCGCGGCCAAGGGTGACGGAGGTGACACGATGGCCAAGGACCCCGACGGTAACGAGACGGACTATGCCAAGAGAGCTGCGCTTCAGAAGCGCATTGATGTACTCGACCAGTTCATCAAGCAGACGAAGGAGCTGGACGAGGACGATCCTGACTTGCCAGCGGCAAAGAAAAGATTGGACCAGCTTCGTGAAGAGCACAGAGCCATGCGCCCTCCAGTGTCGGCACACAAGGCTGCATTCCAGAAGCTCGAACGATGCAAGTCCCAGAAGACGAAGATGGAGTATGAGATATCGGAACTTTCGGCAAGGTTGTCATCACTTCAGAATGAGTTGGATGGCAAAAAAGCTGCACTCGAGGCTAAGTCGAAGGAAGTTGATTTACTCGAAGTGGAAGTTGAAATGTCGGCGGCTAAGTTGCGCAAGCAGCGTAGCCCCAGAGGAGCTGAAGCTGCAGGAGTCCCCGAGGATTTCATCAAGCAGCTGGGCTCCAACCTCATCCGCGCTGAGGACGCCGAGCTTGAGAAGTTGTTCAAGGACCTCAGCGTACACCCGAAGTTCGAGAAGTTCCAGCAGATCATTTTCGAGAGTGTTGCCCCCGCAGGGACGGTCGACGACCCCATGGAGGGCAGGACTCATGCTGGGCCTGTGGCTCCTCCTGCTGCTGAGCGGCCTGCAGGTGGAGGTGCTGGCGAGAAGCGACCACCACCCGAGATTGATTTGTCCGAGTCAGAAGCTGGAGAGGTGTGGACCAAGTTGCAGCAGGAGAGCGAAGAGACACGACCCGCTAAGCTTGCAGAGATGGTCAACGCACTCCAGAAGACGAAAGTTCGCAAAGTTGGTGATGATCAAGAGGACCTTTAGCAACCGTCCATTGGTGAGTGGATTATCTGTTGTTCAAGGTAAGACGCGTGCTGCTCCCATACCACGTACTGGCCAGCAGCAGGTTCGGTTAGATGAAACGTTCAATGCCAATCAAGGTCGAGAGACTTTGAAACGCAGATTGCAACGCACCTCAGCCATAATCGTGTTGGCACAGGAGCTGGGTTATTTTTCACACAATGCGGAGGAGATTTCCTCTTGGGCTGCCAGACGAGGCTGGAGCGTTATCATTGAACCAGGACATGAGACCAAGGGCCACCTTCCCTCTGCGGGAGTGGCTGTTTTCGCACGTGCTGAAGTTGGTCTTCGACGTCCTCAAGTTGATGGTCAGACTGTCTCTGGAGTTCTGGTCGCCCACAGGGCGCTACACGTGGTGGTTGATGTACCAGGTTGGCCAGAGATGCATATTTTCAATTTGTACCTTCATTGTTCTGAGGGTTTGACTGTGCGCAACTCAAGGATTCTGTCTTGCATTGGGCAGTCCCTCGCTGGGCTCACCTCGCCTAGCATCATCGGTGGTGACTGGAATCTCGACAAGGCGGCACTTGAGTCTTCAGGGTTCGCCAGGGCTGCCCAAGTGCAAATTGTCGCTCCAGCATCGGTCACGTGCAGGACGGCATCATCAACGAGTACGATTGATTTCTTTTGTCTCAGTGTGGGTGCACATCGATTACTTAAGCAGATAAAGGTTGATGCTACGTGGGAAACCAAGCCACACCGCCCTGTGCAAATCGAACTGGCTGCTGATGGACATCGACTTCAGATATTGACGTATGCTGCAGTCCCAAAGCTTCCCACAACCGCGGTGTTTGGGCCCGCCCAGCAGGACTTTGATTGGTCATTGGAGCGTAGGTATGCTTCCACAGCGGTTGAGATGGCCAAGGAGTCACCTTCGGATGCTGCATGGGGTTTTCTTACCTTGGCTTGGGGAAGTTTCATCACCAGAGCTGCTGAGAGAATTGGCATCATGACGGGTGAGGAAGTCAAGTGTCCTGGCTCGTATGCGCGCTGCATCAAGCCGAAGTGGGTCGACGTGACTTACAATGGCAGTGATGCGGAAGGCCTTGCTGCACAAGCGGATGGATGGAAGTGGCTTTCGGATGCTTTGCAAGGTCTCAGTTTGTTGAAGCAGGCATCCAGCAATGGCGATGAGGAGAAAGCTGCGATGCTTGACGACGAGCTGATGCTGTTTCAGACGTCACATTAGCCTGGGGTTCATTTATGTTCGAGATTGGATGCAGGTGTGACACAGGCGAGACGATTGGTAGCAGGTCGATTCTTTCCAGAGCAGATTGCTGAATTCCTTGAGGAGATTGGCGAGGACGTTGAGTTTGCGAAGCAGGCAGCTGGAAGAGAATCTCAAAAACGCTGGCAAAATTGGTGCGGTCAAGCTGCAGCAGGAGGCGCACGAGCTTTGCACAAGATTACGCAGTATCATCAGGTCAACGAGACGACGGTGGTCACCGCTGACGGGCTTCCGTCTGCACATCCACACGCTGTTGTCGAGACTACTGCAGATGAGTATCGATTGCTGTGGGATGCTAGCTCCGAGGCGCCCAAAGCATGGATACCAGACAGGAGTTCCTTTCCGAGAGCAACTGCTGCCGACATCAAGGCCGTCGCTCAAACTTTTTTTCCACATCAACTGCAGGGCCCCTGGACGGTCTACATCCTAGACACCTGCTGCTCTTGAGCGATGAGGGCCTCGGCATCCTTGGCATGTTGTTCGAAGCATTCGAATCTTTGGGAATGTTACCGAAGCAGATGTCATGGATTTGCATGCCTATGCTTCCCAGGCCGATGGGAGGACATCGACCTATTGTTTTGTACGGATCGGTATATCGTGTATGGCAACGGCTTCGTCGGCCTGAGCTTGCACCACTCCAGCAGCTTCTACGCCGTGTGTATTGGGGGGCCTCGTCGGGCCGATCCGCTATCGATTCTGCGTGGCAGGTCGCTGCTCGCGTCGAAGCTTGCGTACATGATAAAAGGAAGAGCTTGCAGATCATTGCTGATTATACCAAGTATTATGAGACCATTGACTCAGTTACGGTGAGGGAGAAGTTTTCTAGATATGGAGCTCCCACGTGTTTGACGAAATTATTATTCAACACTTGGTCGGCACCACGAATCATTCGATTGATGAGGCACCATTGCCTCCAACCTGTCCACACTCGGCGAGGATTCCCAGCGGGTGATGCATATGCGGATGTGGGGATCAAGGTACATGCGTTGGAGGAGTACGACAGATTCGTGGCTTTGCACAGTGAGCTGCATTTTTCGTCTTACATTGACGACAGTAGCTTAGGCATCGAAGCGGATACCACAGATGAGTTGATCGAGATGGCGGTGAAGGTTGGTCGCAGTTTCCAGACGACTGCGACGAGATTGGGGGCCAAGTTCAATAACAAGCTCTCAATCGTATGTTCCGAATCTGGAGTTGGTGACAAGGTTGCTGACAGGTTGGGGTTTGAGTCTTCTTCCAACAAGCGAGCAGCTACGTATCTTGGAACTGATCAGGCTGGTGGGAGATCAAGACGAGCTGCAGCCACGCGGAAGAAGCAACAGAGTCGACGTCGACGGTTTCAACATCGGCTGAAGAAAATTGCTCGGTATCGAAAGGCTATCCCCACCAAGAAGTACGAGAGGACAGGCAAGATCTTCAGAACAGGGGCGCGACCAGCCCTGACTTTCGGTGTGGAGATCACAGGCCTGTCAGATTCTGAATGGAGTGCTTTACGTAGACAGTTCTTTCAGTTCGTGAAACCATGCCACGGTGGGATTTCAGCAAGTTCAAAGGCTGTACTCTTTGATGATCCGTCAGCGCGCCAAGCACTTGCCCCAGCTCTGCAGTGGTCAAGAATGATATGGCAAGCAGTCCTGGCACCAGAGACGGCATTAGTTTCTTTGGAGCAGCTCCGAACGTGGTGGACACAAGCCCTGCAGGACCGCCCGCTTGAGAATCTAGCGTGGGCGTCTTCGCGAGGTCCCCTTGAGCGAGCTGCCCTTTGTGTCCGCAGGGTTGGTTGGACAATCAAGCAGTGGGATGTCTGGCTGGACCATCGAGGAGTTGAAGTGCCATTGCAACAATTTACACCAGGCATGCTGGAGAAGCGGCTGACTGAGTCATTACAGAGACAGTTGGAGCTCGACTTGGCTGCCAAGAGAGGGCTCCCAGCTGGCATGCGATCAAGTTATGATATTCTTCGGCCGTTCGTGAGAGAGAAGTATTCGAAGTACACCTCATACCAGAAGTTCCTGGTCAAATCATTCGCGCTCGGTGGAATATGGACACGTGAGCGGGCGAGATGCAAAGGATATGAGACGGACGGTCGTTGTGATTGCGGAGCTCCAGATACGGTACATCACCGTTTGTTCACGTGCATGAGGGGTGATGTGGTGGCTGCCAGGAGTTCTTCTGAGGTACCTCCCGAATTCATCCAACGAGGCATTGATGAGCATAGTTCGGGGTTTTTTGAGCATGGAATGTTTGAATATCTCGACGAGGAGATTCCACAACTGGCACCTGGTCATGAAGCATTCGTCGTGAACATGGCTGGAGAGGTGCAGGATTTGAACCCTGAGGAGATGGTGGAGTCTGCATGTCCAGAGGCGCAGGCGATCGAGCTTGCTCCAGATGGCTCCTGCAGCAAACCCGCTCTTCGTGATTTACAGAGGGCTGGATGGGCAATCGCATTGTTGAACCCGTCTGGCCCAGATCCACTTCTTGCAGTATATGGGGCTGTTCCTCCTGCCCTGCCCCAGACATCAGTGATTGCCGAGTATTTGGGATTGGCTTTTTGTGGCCAAGTCGCAGATCGGCCTGCAACCATGTATTTTGATTTCCTTGGCGCTGTCTTCGAGGCGCGGAAGTCTCCTCAGCGCCAGAGAGAGTCACGTTCCATTTATGCATGTGTTCAGGTCTTTGGTCAGAGCCTTCCTGGTCGTGAATATCTGACAGCAGCAGAACATGTTAAAGCACATCGCACGAGCGAACAGTATGCTCTGTTAAACGTTGACCAAAGGAGAATAACAGATGCGAACATTGCTGCTGACAGATTCGCGAAGATGGCTGTTTCTCTTCACCCCGCTCCTCGTCACGAATTCTGTAAGCAGGTTGGGCTGCACGAGGAGGCGACGAGGAACCTTGTGCGTCTAATCTCCGCCACCTTGCCCTGCTACGAGAAGGAGGAGAGGTGGAGGAGGGCACCGATATTCAAGAGGAGTAGAAACGTGAGGACTGAGGGACATGATTGGTGTAGGACGGAGTTAGGAGTTCAGTGCAAGTATTGCCTCTCTGTTCTGCATGACAATGCTGTTGATTGGCCCTTAGTGGGCTGCAGGGGAACCCCAGCATTCCTCAGTGCGTTTTTCGCTCGGCCGAACGGCCACTGTCTCGTTGCTGTGCACCAGTCTGGCGAACGGTGCGAGTCGGTCTCGGATAGTGTGGATCGACCTGTTTTTGTTTGTACGAGATGTGGAGCGTGGGCCCAACAGAGGCGCCGCAGCAAGTTGAGGTCACCTTGCATCAGGCCGACGCCCAAGGGTCTTGAGATTCTTCGGAACCTGAGGCGCGGCGTCGGACCTCATCGCAAGCTCCAGCGTTCCATCGATTCTGTGATACCTGTCGTCCGAGTGGCGCCCACACGCCGCGCCCCTCGGAGGGAGACGACCAGTGTCTCCGCGCGGCCCAACCCAGCCTCTTCGTATCAGTACGAATCACGGCTGGCGGCACTTCAGGAGAGAGTGCGCCAGCGGGAGCTGGCTCGGGCACAGGAGGGCTCAGCAGGTGGCGCAAGCGGTAATGGGCTAGGCTGAGCCCGAGCGCCGCCCTGCTGGGCCGAGTCGTTAGTCACGTGACTGGTCCGCCTCGGCGTGCTTCTTCTTCTTCTTCTTCCTCCCTCCCTCCTCCTCTTCCTCCTCCTCCACTCCTCCTCCTCCTCCTCCTCCTCCTCCCCCTCCTCCTCGTGCTCCTCATCCCACTCCTCCTCCTCCTGCTCATCCTCGCGCTCCTGGCCCTGATCCTCCTCCTCCAGGATCTTCCTCCTCCTCCTCCTCTACCTCCTCTCGCCGAGAGCAAGACCTCTGGACTCCGCAGCCGAGGGGTCTCATCCCTCGTGCCGTGGCGTCGCCGCCAGGTCGTCGGGTTAGGCGGCCTCCGCCCCTGGCGGGGCCTGCCTCGCGCGCGGCCCTTGCCTTAAGTCGGGCGTGTCCCCCTACAGGGGGATTTCGACAAAAAATAAAACATACTCAAACAAATGTTCCAAAATTAGCAAAACGAATACTCAAAAAATAGTCCCCAGACTATGTTTTGACTAGTTTGAATGTTCCCCCCGTAGAGGGACAGGCCCGACTTAACGCATGCTTCGGTCTGGCGCGTGCCGGATGACCCAGGATGCTCCTCGGTGGTCCTCGCCGAGGAGGAAATGCCCACGTCCGAGCGGTGCCGGGAGCCCGGCGGAGGAGGGGGGAGGCGGGAGACGGCGGGCACCCTGCCCTGCTCCCTCCACGCCTCCAGGGCGGGCGGCTGGAGGGCGGCCGCGGTGAGGGCGCTGGATAGGGGCCCGTTGGATGTCCTCCTCCTCCTCCTCCTCCTCCTCCTCCTCCTTCCTCCTCCTCCTCCTCCTCCTCCTCCTCCTCTCCTCCCCCTCCTCCTCTCCCTCCCTCCTCCCTCCTCCCTCCTCCCTCCTCCCTCCTCCCTCCTCCCTCCTCCCCAGGGTCTGGAAGCAGGTGGAACGCCAGTTGAGGCTCAGCCATGGATATCACCGCTGCCCTCATCAGATAAGAAATCTCCCAGGGTCTGAGGCCTCCTGGGCACGTCCCGTAACGAACGCCCCCACCGCAGCGTGCAACATCGACCTCGGAGAAACTCCTGCAGGCCTCGCGCGGCACCTTCAGACCCAATGCGCGCCAGATCCACGTCGGATCTCCGTCGGGTTCACGTCGGACTGCCTCGGATTTGCGCCACGCGCACGCCAACTGTAAGCCGGACCTACCTCGGAACATCGCCGCGCGAGCGCCGTCCACAATCTGACGGGGCGCACGTGCGGACTAGAAGCTACACGAGTGCGCGCCACACGAGACCTCCGTGGTTTCCCTCCTACTTTTGCCAAGAACTCGCAGACCTCCGACAATGAAGATGACGACGCCGATGACGATCCCTGCGATCTGAGTGTCGCAATCTGCTGGCACTGGGCGGCGTTCGCCGGGCTCTGGGCCCCAGGACAACTACAGATCGATCGGGCTCAAAGCATGCTGCAGAAAGGTGAGGTCTGGGGCTCCGGTAGTGCTTTTCTCTGACTTTTCTGGCGCCGTGGGGGTAACTCGCAGAGCTCCCATGATGACGATGACGATGATGATCTGGACTCAAGCGAGCAGCCAGCAGATTGCTGCTCCGAGGCGGAGCGCGGCCCAGGCCGCCTCGGACAGAGCAGATCGTTCTGTGGCCACCTCGGAGCCGCGGGGAAGCTACACGGCGATCTTCTGAAGAGCCCGCACGGAATACGATACAGCTCTCCGACGAGCTGATGTTTTCAATCCCGGCGCTCTCCCTCGATCCAGGCCTCTTAGGTCCGGTGAGCGGGCCCGGGGACCAGCAACAACGTGGGCAGGACGAACGTCTGCCCCCAGGGCTGCGGTCGGGGCCCCTGGTGCGAAAAACAGATCGGCAGATGTCTGCGGACGACGACGACGACGACGACGACGACGACGACGACAAGGAGGACGCTTAAGCATGCGGTATCCGCAAGCCTGGAAGCCGAGGCTACTGCAAGGCAGAGAAGGCGGGGGGCCTGCGCAGGCAGGCGCCCTGGGGGGAGAACGCCCAAACCTCCGGCAGACGGAGGGTCTCAGTGCGGGCGCGGCCCCTCCACGTCGGCCACGGGAGAGGCCCTTGCTCGGGAGCGGCCAAGAGGGGGCCGCCCGTGCCTCAAAGAATCAGGCGCTTCCAGAATGGATGGGGGGGTCGTTTTCAAAAAGGGTGGCTCTCGCCTCAGCGCCGCGCACGTTCGTCGTCCAAGCCTGCGGCAGCTCCAAGGACGGAGGGGGTCGTTCTCGAGCGAGATCCTCGCCAAAGCGCCGCGCACAGTCGCCTCAAGAGACTGCAGTTGTTTCAGTGATGGAGGGGCGGGGTTCCTTTTCAAAAGAGGGTGAAGGGGGGTCTTGCCTTGGCGCCGCGCACAGTCGTCTTGAAACGTTGTGGCAGCTTCTAGGATGGAGGTCCGGCTCTTTCCAAAGACTGGGATCTCGTCCTGGCGCCGCGCACAGTCGTCTTGAAACGTTGCGGCAGCTTCTGGGATGGAGGTTCGGCTCTTTCTAAAGATTGGGGTCTCGCCCTGGCGCCGCGCACACGCGTTTTGAAAGCTTGCAGAAGTCACACGGGTGGAGAGCGATCCCTTTTCCATGGGTTTCGCCTGAGATCTCCTGCAGAGGAGAACCGACCAAACACTTGTGAACACATGTAGCAGCTGCACGGATGGAGGGCAAGTCAACTTCAAAATGAGGCTCTCGCTTGAGACTTCTGGTCGGGTGCACTGCGGCATCGCTGATGCATCTTGGGTGGTGTACTCTGGTCCTCCTCCTCCTCCTCCTCCTCCTCCTGCTCGGAGCTCGAGGTCGACCGCTGGTCTGTCACAGTGTGCAAAGATCCTCCTCCTCCTCCTCCTCCTCCTCCTCCTCCTCCTCCTCCTCCTCCTCCTCCTCCCTCCTCCCTCCTCCCCTCCTTCTCCCTCCCCCTCCGCCTGCGCCTCCGCATCCTTCGCCTTCCTCCTCCTCCTCCTCCGCCTCCTCCTCCTCCTCCTCCTCCTCCTCCTCAGTCTCCTCCTTCCTCCTCCCCTCCTCCTCCCTCCCCCTCCACCTCCTCCCCCCCCCCTCCTCCCCTTCCCCTCCTCCTCCGCCTCCCCCACCACTCTCGACTGCCTGGGGCGCCGGCGGCGGGCGTGGGTGGGCGGCGAGGCGGGGGGAGTGGCAGCCGGCAGGCGAGACGCGGCTCCCGGGGCGCCTTCGCGGCCCGCGGCGAGTGCCTCCCCCGGCCGGGCGGGGACCTCGCCGTCGCGGGAGGGAGGGAGGGAGGGAGGGAGGGAGGGAGGGCAGGGAGGGAGGGAGGGAGGCAGGGAGGGAGGGGCACGGAGGGAGGGAGGAGGGAAGGAGGGTGGTGGGACGCAGGCATGGCGAAGAGTTCGCGAGCTCTCGTTGTCTTGCCGCGCTCCCCGCCTAGGCCTCCTGTTCTGTAGGAGGAAAGCCAAGAGAGGCGGCGGGGGCGGCAATGGTGGGTCCCGCCTCGAAGGCGGGGGGGAAGGAGGGAGGGAGGAGGGGGGAGGAGCAATGTCAGCCCAGTGCGCGCCAGAGTTGTTGCAGCAGACCCTCCCTCCAACTTCCCTCTTCACGGGTCCATGTGAAACTTCCTGTGCACTGCGACAAGTGCCCCATTGGAAGACGACCACCTGAGAACCCTCTACCGTGCCAAAGCACCGTTCTTGGGACTCCAGCGCCGTGAATAAACGTAAGTGTTGCGCCCTCACAATCCGAAATCGTGCCGGAACACCTTTCCTGAAACTTGAACGCCGCCAATCAAAGTGACGGTTGCGTCCTGACACTTCTACGTCGTCCCAGAACACACATCTTGGGAATTCAACCCTACAAATTCCTTGACACTGGCACAAACAGCAAGAAGACAAATGCGCGCGGCGCTGAAGCGAAAGCCACATTTAATAAATCGCCCTCCATCCTTGAAAGCTTTGCGAACGTTTGAAAAGCATGTGCGCGGCACGGAGGCGAAAGTCACATGTTGAATACCAATCGCCATCCATCCTTGAAACTGTGCCACAATTCGAACTTCAAGATCATGAATACTGAGGGGTCTCAAGCGAACCGCCCGACCCGCCTTACAGTTACGTCTGGAGGCATGACAGGGAGGAATTATCTATGAGTAAAAGAATTGAAGAGAGGAGCAGGAGGAGAAGGAGGAGAAGGGGGGAGGAGGAGGAGGAGGAGGAGGAGGAGGAGGAGGAGGCGAAGGAGAAGGGGAGGAAGAGGAAGGGGGAGCAGGAAGAGCAGGAGGAGGGCGTCCAGGTCAGAGAAAAGGGGGGAAGAGAGAAGACGCGGGTGGGAGCGTCCATCCGACGAGTTGCCCTCGGAGGAGCCTTTTTGTTCCACGCCTGGATTCCCTCCCCAGGCGGACCCACCGACAGGACGCCCCCTCCCCACAGAAATTCATCCGACTCTGGGTCGGGGTCGGGAGCGGAAAGGAGAGAGAGAGAGAGAGAGAGGGAGAAGGAGAGAGAGAGAGAGAGAGAGATGCATTGCCAAAATGCGGATTGACAGAAATCATTTCACGGCAGCGCCGCCCGAAGGAGGAAGCTCGGACCCGCTGAGCTCACCACTTGCTGCACACACCTGCGAGAGCGACCGGGACAGAGAGGGAGAGGGAGAGGCGGAGAGAGGCAAAAAAGGGGGGAGGGGGGGAGGGGGACGGGGGTCGTCGTCGTCGTCGTCGTCGTCGTCGTCGTCGTCGTCGTCGTCGTCGTCGTCGTCGTCGTCGTCGTCGTCGTCGTCGTCGTCGTCGTCGTCGGCAAGGGGGAACGGCCGGCAGCGCCACGCGTGGGCCTCTGGGGGCCCGCCCCGGGGCTCGCCCCCGGGGGCCCGGACAGAGGTGGGCAGCCCGCGGCGCGAGGTCCACGCGGAAGACGGGGGGCCGAGGTTCCAGGGCCCGAAAGTCTTTGCTGCTGCTGCTGCTGCTGCTGCTGCTGCTGCCGCTACTAATACTACCACTGCTGCTGCTGCTGCTGCTGCCGCCGCCGCCGCCGCC